ACTGCAATGCTCTCATAATGGGTCTTTCAGCTACGCTCCTGGATAAAATTCAAAAAGCACAGAATAATGTGGCTCGCATTGTTCTTCGCAAACGCAAATTTGACGCAAAACACTTCTGAGAGAGTTGCATTGGCTGCCGGTCCCTGCTTGCATAGAGTACATAAATGCAATTCTGTGCTAACGCTGCTTGCATGAACTGGCACCGTCCTATCTCAAAGCGCTACTGACGCCTTATTGACCCACTAGACAACTTGGCTTATCCGATACTGGCAAACACTAGATACCATGTGTTCGCAATGAGACTTACGGAAAGCGCACTTTCGCATTTGCTGGCCCAACAATTTGGAACACACTTCCTGTCGCTTCAAAACCGAATGCGGTATAATATAGAATTTATCATTTCTCTTTTAATGTATTTGACTTTGTTATGCGCTTCGAGCCTTTGGGGATAAAGCGTGATTTTAAAATAAACTTTATTTTTTTTATTATTAGTATATATGTATATATCCTAAGCTGTTGCTGATATTATTATTGTTCCAAGTATTATTTGTTGTGTGAATTATGGTTAGCGTGAAAAAAGATATTGTACGTGCGTTGGATGCGTAATATTTTCTTTTGTTTTTATGAAATATTTGGTGTCACAAATCTGTGGAGTAAAAGCAAATGGGAAATTTGAATATTGATATGAACCAAACATTTTTTTTTTAAAAAGCACATGATGGATTTAAGAGAAAAACTTTGTTTTTAGTGGGAAGTTATCGGGAATTTTATTTGGTGAAATCATGTTAACCCTTAAAAAACACGAAATAATGCTTTTTGGGGGATTAGGTTGGGGCTGAAAACCTTAACAGGATAAAATTAACCTATTTTAGATCTATACTTTATTATAAGAACCCAATTAAAGAAACTTTTAAAGTTATACTTATTTAAGATTTTAATGAAAATTATATGTTTTTTGTGTGCTACATTTAAATAAATAAAGTATTATTACTTAATATACTTTTTTGCAATACCTTTTACATCTAAAATCTTACCTTATTTTTATCACTATTGATACTTTCAGAAAGTATATATTGATTGAATGATTGTATACTTCAGGACTTAAATACTACCAATTATTTTTCCGTTTGGTAGCTGCATTGTAAATAAAGCTTTTCTGCATATCTTGTGTATTTCAAATAAACAGGTGGAGATTATATTATATATATATATAGAGAGAGAGAGAGAGGGGGGGAGAGAAAGAGAAAAGAGAGAGAGACAGAAGGAGATAGAAAATAAGAAAGAGAATGAGAGTAGGATAATGACAAAATAGATATATGTATACAGACAAATTATGATCTGATAAACATCTAATTACATTCTTAAACGATGTGAATTTTTTTTTAAATTGCAATAGCCTTGCATAATGTCTGAAGCTTTTTTATATGTTCCTATCTTTAAAAAAAAAAAGAGTAGTATACTTTAGGCTATATAAGATTTACGATAGATTCAAAACTAAGTAGTTTATTTTATTTTATCAGATTTAACTTCTATTGCCATAAGAACACGGGATATTTAAGCGTATAGTCATAAATACGTAATTAAATTTCAAACTAAGCCGGAGACAATCAATTTATAAGGATTTGAAGATGTATTGTTATGCCTATGCGGGATGACACAAAACAAATCATATTACATTACTAATTTATTTTATCTAAGTGACTTACGGCATGTACTGAAAACATGATCCAAAATCATTTACAAGGAAATTATATTTAAGAGTAAAAAAATATTTTTTCAAGGGACAAGGAAGTAAATAGTACGATGCCTCTTAATATAAAGAGCTTGAACCATCTGATAACAAAGATCTGATCAGTTTTACTGTCACGAGAGGACCAGGTATGTCTTTCATACACATTTTATCCCATTAAAAAAAAAATTATATATATATATATACATATTCTGAGACATATATTTGGACAATCAATTTATGAATATTTACTGAATCAAGGTAGTCAACTCCAAGAGTGTAATACTTTAGGAATATTTCTAAGTTACTGGAAACGTAGTATTTTACACACTACTTTTATTCGTTACATTGGTAATTTTGAGTTTGGTAATTTTGTCATTATAAACAAACGTCTGAAAATTCCATCCTGATTTACCAATGTAACAGGATCAACAACCTGGCAAATTACTGCATTAATTACATTAAGAAATGCAAGAAAAACGAACCCCTTTATTAGTGTGCTCATGGAAACATTTATTTTCCATGAAGTCTCAGCTAAACTCATAGGGCTAAGCCACTCAGCGAAATATGTTTGCTCGAAAGTAGCTATGTTAAAAAAAGTAATCTCCTCGGTGAATAATGTTTGCTCCAAAGCAGCTACGAACCAAGAGATCTCTTAAATATATACAACTCTCAATTGCACTACATAGCTAATTCAATTGATTTATTTTCTTCTAGCGACTTTTTTATTTTTGATAGTTAAGGAGAAAATCTTATAAAAACTTAATTGAAAATGTAAATATTTTAACATCCGTAGCTGAGTTGCTTGAAAAAAAGTTGTATACAATCTCTATTTATCTCCACATATAGTATAAGGAAATTTTGAAGAAATTGAATTGTTTTCTAAAGAAGGAATTAATATAGGGTTGAACCGATTAATAAGCAGGTTGTCGGTAATCGGCTTTTTGTTTTTAAATCGTAATATAAACTAATCGGGCATCTGAAAAAATATTGATGTAAATATAAAAACTTCCTTAAAAATAAAATATTAAATTGTATTGTGATTATTTTTCATTTGTAACACATAGGCTCTGTCAAAAGAAACTAAGAGTGTTACCATGCAACTCTCGTCTCCAGTTATTGTCTAATCTTGTTTGATATGTAATGGCGTCAGTGTTTACACAATGATACCATGGGTACACATAGAAACGCCCTTTCCCCGTGCCGTTAAGACTGTATTGCTGGATAGGAAATGAATTTATCTTGGAAAGTTATTGTCGATTTATCAGCCGTAAAGAGACATACGCTCCTCAGTTGCATACTTTAGGGAATAAGTACCTGGAAGAGAAATAGTGGCATAGTTGCGGTTAATCCTTGCTCGGCTGGGACCTTGGTTTTTTCCATTATTGCAGGCGCTCTAAAATCCCACCACTATATATATAAAATATGTAGAACAGTGTGATTTCTGGTTGTGTACAGTAAGTGGGACAAACCAGAAGCAATATATATATATATATATATATATATATATATATATATATATATATATATATATATGAAATATATATATATATAGAAACATAAAAAAAAAAAAGAAAAAGAAAAAATATATATATAAAATATATAAAACAGTGTGATTTCTGTTTATATAGAGTAAGAGAGAAAAAAAAAAAAATATATATATATATATATATATATATATATATATATATATATATATATATATACGTGAATTCCAGAAATCTATAGAAACATGTTAAAATAATAGAAAGGGTAAAATGGCTCCCTTAAAACATACAACAATTCCGAGCTTTCTTAAAATATAATACAAATAATAAATACATGAACATTAAAATAAATCACAGAAATCTTGGAAAATTGTACAGCATTAAAAATTGTTGTTTTTTTTTTAATAAATAAACATGAATCATCTTATTATTTAGAGAAATCATGTATCAACTCATAAAATGTAATTAAAGCCCCAATAAAAGTAATTAAATTGTTAGATAAATTATGTCACTTATACATCTGACTTGAACTAATGTAACAATTTGAACTTTATATTAATATTGAGATTTATGTTTAAATTTTAGAATAAAATTAATTGTACTTCTTTGCTTATTAATTTCACTAATATAGGCCTATAAACAGATTGGAAAAATGGCCGATATAGTTATTTTTCGTTTGGTGACCAAAGGATGCTCATATCTTAATAGCTGACAAAACATAGTTTTAAATCAAAATTTGTTGTTAAATACTAAAAGAATGTTTAAAGTTTTGAAGCTTTCAAATGGTATTTGTATTATATTTTTTGTGGACGATGTTGTGTAAAATACTACTGTGCATTTAAGTTAACCAAGTAAATTAAATAATACATTTCAATGTGCTAATGTTAAGTTTACTGTCACTTTAACAAGCCGTTGTAATTTAAAATGTCTTAGTTTACAAAATATGTGATTTAAGTTCATGAAAATTATTTAAAGGACCAGCACACTTTAAAAAAAAATGTTGTCATTCGTCTATATAAAGATGTTTTTTTGTTTAACTAAATAATTTAACTTTAACTTCTTTAAAACATTTATATTGAAGACTCAATTGTAATTTTTGGACACAAAATTTTAAATTTTTTCAGTGGATATTTTATAATATTAGGTTATATAAATAAATGAGGAGTCGGACAATTATTTTGTTGTAAAGTTTAAGTCAAATATGTAATATAAAGCAGAAGTTAATCATAATTTGGATTTTAATGTTTAATTTTTTGGGTACCGATTAATATTGGAAGTATACTCAGTCTTATTTTATTTTTAATATTTTTTTTCTTCTTTACAGTACATTAGATTGCATATATTGAAATGACAAGGGGAAAAAAATGACATGTTTAGCTCTCTTTGTTTTAGTGCTACCCATTATTTACAACTCGGCTTATTGTAAGTACACCTTAACATTTGCTGCCATGTAGTTTAATTTGTAAAGTAAATGTGACTTGTGTTTAATATGTTTGCCTCTGAAGAGCTATTTGATGGTAAATATATTTCTTTCGCAGAAAGCTTACATTAACTTGAGCTAAAAGCAAAATTAGTTATTTACATGAATATATAGTAATAACTTGTGTACTTTTAATATTTAATGTTAAAAATGAATCATTACAAAATATTAAAAAATTATTAGCTTGAAGTTAGTAACATAATTTATTTTTTAATGATTATGGAGTAATTATCAATAATGGAGTCCTTACTTAAACAAATCGTCTATTGTAGCATGTAATACAACAGACCGTTTCAACAATAATTGGTTTGGTGCCGACTGCCAGTACAAATGTCACTGTAAGAACAATGTAGCTTGTGGCATTACCAATGGTGACTGTCCTAATGGATGTGATAGTGGATGGTTTGGTCCAGCGTGTCAATATGGTAGGTCATTTAACTAATAAGAATTTGTTATTATATTTTCGAATAGATCTGTGTTATTTGATTTCTTTTTTTTTTAAATACCAATAGTCTCAGTCTCCTCTAAGAATCAAATGGTTCTGTTTACATGAGCGTTAAGGCAAAATGTCATTAATAAAATCCCCAGCTGCATTCAAGCTTTTATGTTTCTAAAGACCACATTTTTATACCTGATTTTTTTAAATTTTTTTATTTATTTTTTTTAAGTAGTCGTTTTGTTAGTGTCCCTTATAGATTTAGTTTATTTTTCAGGTGACATAGCAAAAAATGCAGCACTCACACCTAACAATGACTTGACACAAGAAGTTGACAAGATCACAGATGGGGATGACACAACATGTGCTCTTCTCACTGGATCTAGTTGGTCACTTGATGTCACTTGGAGCTTTGAATTTTATTTCACCTGGTTGAGGATTGTTGTCAGGAATACAGGTGGTAAGTTGTCAGATAATATGCATACTTAAATAGTTGGGGAATTTAACAAAAATAATAACGAGAATGTACAAGTCCTTTTTTTTATAATTCAGTTAGGCCTAATGCTATTTCTGTTTAAAATAAATTATAGTATGTGTTTTGCATTACTTTAATAGGCATTTATTAAGACTTTTAAATGTATATAATAACAATACATTTTCCTCCCGCGTGTTTCAGAATTACAAAAAGAAAGCATTTCAATAAAGTTTCCAGATAACGTCACAACACAACATATGACATGCGTTAATGTCATTATCGACAATGTAACACTAGACATCTATTGTAACGTATCGAAAGTTACAAGCAAAATAGTTCTACATGAATCTGCAATCGAAAACCTCTGTTCACTTTACATCAGCGAGGGTAACATATTTTTATTCTAATATTACGTATGCAATGTATACGATGGACTAAAAATGTTTGTTTATGCTCATATGGTTCATGTCTCATTGGCTTTTTTTTTCAAACTGAGTAACCAGATTTTGTAAAAAAACAAAACAAATTTAATTAACTCCAATGAAGGATTCTAACTGATAATGTACATCGGCTGGAAATCATTCGAAGTAAGCAAAATTATACAATTGATAATTTCTCCTTATTGGTTTGTTTTTTTCTGGTCAATCTTTTTAGTAAATGGTATCTAATGTTTGTAATACTTACTTGTGCGGCGGAATTTTCTCTAAATCGAACGAGGTATATTTACTCTTGGCGGTTTTAAATGGCAATGTTATTTAAATTATCCCCCCAATGAGTGCATTTTATTTAATTATTTCACTCATGGCTCACGGAAGTTAAGTTTCTGATAAATAATTAAACCTGCATCTGGAAACCTGTATTTACTTGATGTAAGTCAGGGTAAAAGATATTTTTATTCTTACATGTAAATTAGTAAAAGGAATAAAAAATATTATTACTCTATTTTAACACAAAGAGAGGAACAATAAATTTTACCTCTCCTCCTATTTTTCTCTCAATGTTATTATTGTGCTATTGTAACTAAGTTATTGGTATAATTGTTTTGTTTCTTTTTAATTTATATTACTTTTCTTGCTTTGTGTGATATATTCCTTTCTTCTTCTTAAATTGCGTTCAACCTTATATATTTTATTTTTTGTCGTAACTGTTGTTATTGTTGTTTCTATAACAAATGTAAGAAAGTCAACTCTGAATAAAGTTTTTCACTCTTGTTATTCTCGTTTTTATTTTTACCACCGTCGTTACTGGTAGTGAGTTTGATTTCAATTTAAGGTAATATCATTTTGCAACCGTCAGCATTGTGTTTGATAATAAGTTTGGTTTTTTAAACACATCTATTCTTTCTTCAGGTCGAAATGTTGCACTTAAACAGCCCACAAGTCAAACAACAACACAAGAGAATAATCCACATTTTTTTTCAAGTCAAGCTGTAGATGGGAACCCCAACTGGATTGACTTATCTTGCACACACACGAACGAGAACAACGATCCTGCCCCGAAGTGGACAATTGTCTTGAATCACAGCTTCACAATACAAGCGTATACCATCCACAATAGAGTTGGGTGTACGTATATATTTGAAATAAGTTTCATTCTCAAATATGCATTTTTTAATTATGTTTTTTAAATGTGTGTTGTTTTTTTTCTAAAAAGGGGGGAGGGGGGGGCTTGGGGGGTCCAAATTAATACCTTATTGTAAAAAATGAGATTGTAACTAAATTATTAATTGTTTTAACACCAAAAAATATTTGTACAAACCTGTCACAACAACAATATAGTTTTGAATTACAAGAGAGGCTAAGTGGTTCAAGCAATAGAGACTAATATTTTATTATACACTAACGGACGAACACAATAATACAATAGTTAATAATAATAGGTCCACCTCTCATGCCGAACATACTAAATCCATGAAATACTTGTAATGCAGCTTCTTGTTAAACTCATTGGCACCTTCTTCACTTGATAAATGTAATAACACTATGACCAAATCTTCTTACACAAATATCGACGTAAATCAACAGTTATCATTATTTATTTTTGTCTCCATCATTTTCTCTTTTTTTTTTTAATTTGCTAGTTTTTTTCTAAGTTCCTATACTGTGTATATTACATAAGTAATAATTCCCATATGAATTATCTACCTTGAATTCATTATCTCATCGCTGTGACAATAACCTGTCTTGTGTTTAACAACATTATCTTGTTCCTGTTCCTATTCACAAACAGATGGAGGTGAAGCACACTGCTGTCTTGTCCGACTGAAAGGATTTCTTCTGACAACATTTGACCAAAGAAATCAAACAGTCCAAAGTTACACGGATTCTCAAACTTCACCACTTGCAGTGTACAATGTCTTACCAGATGATCATTGGATGCCAGTTTCAAAAGTTCAAATAGAAGCAACTTATTTTGATATCAATAACAGATTCGCCAAATCTAAAGTCCTGACTTTGTGTGAGGTGGAAATATTCGGTGGTAAGTTTCATAGATAAGTTGAGGAAAATTCACATAATTTACTAGATATAACTACTCCCATAACTCTCCAATCTAAACTTTATCTCAATCTCTTTTAGTAAATATATGTTGTTCCAGGCATCACTGCTTCTCTGTTAGACTATCGCAAGCTTCTAATTCATTGACACCACCTTGAGTTGCTTATGAGGCTTATCCCGGAGAGGAAAATGTGGTTGTAATTGTCACAGGAGAACTTTGTCTGATTGATTTCTTTTGCCTTCTGTTTTGCGTTTTTTTCTATAGAGTCTTCGTTTTAAAACATATGTCAGTTGGAATCAACTATTCATACACACACAAACACACACACACACATGTATATATATATATATATATTGATATATATATATATATATATATATATATATATATATATATATATATATATATATCTTAGCTATGTTTTTTTACTTTTTAATATATNCGGTCAAGAGCGGTCCCTCTAAAAAATAGGTACGGGTCTAACAAACCTAAAGCTGAAATATAAAGCACCGGAGGCTTCTGGTCGGCCCAACAGAATGACAGGCTGCTGTTTTCTTTAAGTTATGACTGTATTTTATTGAGAGATGCATTGATTATTTTATTAAAATTTGTCAAACTAATCAGAAATTCCCAACCTACAACCTGCGATAAAAATAGCTAAACAGACATCATCATTCAAAAAATTTCTTACAAATAGTATCTTGTACCTTTAGAATATTGTGAACAATTCAATAGATTATGTCTAAAAATACAAGGTAATAATATTCTTTTTTTTTTTTTTTTTTAAAGGCTACTGCAATTAATTAACTTTAATAATGCAGTACAATTGTTCTCATGTAATGTTTGCAACGAAAAATATATACGTTTTAAGTCGTTTTTTGTCTAGCTTTTGGTACATTTTTCTAATTGTGTATGAATTTTGATGGTAATCGGCATGTATTAAAGTGAAATGAACTGGATTAAAAAAAAATAATAATAAAGTTTAATATAATCTTATCTCTATAACGTATGAATTATTAAAATGTATTGCTTGCAAGTCCCTTAACAATGTTAATTAAAACCATTACTTTTCTTTAGCTTGTGGCACTGGATACTTTGGTGTCGATTGCAGAAATAAATGTAGTGATAATTGCTCCAGTCAACAGTGTGACAGTGTAGATGGCAAATGTGACAGTTGTAAATTAGATGGAAAGAAGCTGCCATATTGTTCACAAGGTTTGGATACATTTAATTTGAAATTAACACTTTAAATAAATCTTTGAATTTTGCTATCCTTCATAAAAATATAATACATATTTATATTTTGTTTTCACATAAAAAATAATAAAAATAATAAATAGTTTAAATTTATACAATTTTAAAATCAATATAAAATAATGTAATTTATTTCTAAAATTCAGTTGTTTTGTCGGGTAGCTTTTAATGACCAATGCAACGCATTTACTTTCTGTTTATTTTAAATAGATTAAAAATATAATATTCATTTTTTATGTACACTGTAAAATCAAGTGCATTAGTATATATATATATATATAAACACACACACACACACACACACACATATATATATATATATATATATATATATATATATATATATATATATATATATATATATATATATATATATATATATATATGGCTTAGCGATGCTTTATTACAGTTTAAAATATTCCCAATTACAGAAAATGTCTTGAGACAATAAATATTTTTTTGACATAAAAGTAGACTACAAAGTTTCTCTAAAGCGGACCGATGTAACCGTTGAACTTACATGAGCACTGGTGGTAGCAGTTATGCTTCTAAATATCGTCCAAAACAGTGGTGCTCACTGTGTAAGAAAAGCTATCACGTAATATAAAAAAGAGCACCTACTTAAAGTCTCATCACATGTCTTGTTCACCTGTTGCCGAGCCGAAAAAAATAGAGGGATGGATCACATGCAAGTGACGTGATGACCAAACACTGTCAATGGGTAAAATCTGGTCTTAGTTCAAGGTCCCATTTAAGAACTTCGTGCTAGCAGTGCCGGTCTTAGAACGTTTTTGGCTAAAGACAAGATTGACAAATGACACCCGCCCTTTAATCATACATGCGTATCAATTCATCTTGTTTACCAGTTTATAGTTTCTACGAAATTAAATGTCCTAATTTTTTCATTTCTTTTTTTTTCTTTTTTTTAAATTTTTTATATTATTATAATTTTTGTTTATGAACGATGAAGGTATACCAACATAATGACGTTAGTATAAAAATATTTCAAAGTCGTAAGAGCAGTGACGGATTTACTAATCGAAACCATGTTTTGGGGAAGAAATCCTATGGTGTACAAAAAAAATCATTGAATTTTTAAGTATTTCCTCTGGGACAGCATTTTTGCTTTTTTTTTTTTTTTTTTTTTTTTTTTTTTTTTTTTTTTTTTTTTTTTTTTTTTTTTTTTTTTTTTTTTCTGTAACATCCAGTAATACTTAAGCTGCTAGTGAGGATTTAAATGGCTACTATATTATGGTAAATACGGGCCCTAGCTGATGTCCGAAGGATGTTATGGTCACTTATGTTTCCGTAGTTGCACATATTTGGTTGTCTCTAAACGTTGGCTTGTTCATACAAATGGAAGCTCCTGATTTTATCAGTCAGTAACCAATGGTGTAGGTGTAGATTTTTTCTTCGTTTTATAGTAAGCCTTGCAGAAGATTTAATCAGCTTATTAAATGGGGTCACACTTGATAAATCTGGTCACTTGTTACAGAAATGTCAATATATCGTGGACAAATTATCTCTAATGAGAGTTTCCTAAACTATAATTTATGAGCTTTTTTTTTCTCAAAAGTATTATAATGTATTTGAAACTTGTATGAAATAAATATATACAATTAATTATATTCTCAGATTCAGTGTGTCCGAAGGATAATTTCACTTATGGCCGTGACTGTGAACATGTCTGTAACTGTGCCGTACCAGGAGAAAGGTGTTTGGTTAGTACAGGAAACTGTCCATCTGGATGTAAGGCTGGATTTTATGGAGAAGGATGCACAAAACGTATGTCATTTTCAATCCTCATAGTATTTTCTATTTAAATGTCGTAAAGACCACGAAAGATGATTTCTAAATGCAATAATACAAAAGGGACGGTCAAGAGCGGTCCCTCTAAAAAATAGGTACGGGTCTAACAAACCTAAAGCTGAAATATAAAGCACCGGAGGCTTCTGGTCGGCCCAACAGAATGACAGGCTGCTGTTTTCTTTAAGTTATGACTGTATTTTATTGAGAGATGCATTGATTATTTTATTAAAATTTGTCAAACTAATCAGAAATTCCCAACCTACAACCTGCGATAAAAATAGCTAAACAGACATCATCATTCAAAAAATTTCTTACAAATAGTATCTTGTACCTTTAGAATATTGTGAACAATTCAATAGATTATGTCTAAGAATACAAGGTAATAATATTCTTTTTTTTTTTTTTTTTTTAAAGGCTACTGCAATTAATTAACTTTAATAATGCAGTACAATTTTTCTCATGTAATGTTTGCAACGAAAAATATATACGTTTTAATTCGTTTTTTTTTTAGCTTTTGGTACATTTTT